TGTTAAAACATTTGGCCGCATAGACATTTTGTGCAACAATGCAGGGATCATCAACGAAAAGCACTGGGAAAAAACGATTGCAATCAACCTGGTATGAGTCTGTCTGTCTGTGTTTGTTTGTGTCTGTCTGTGTTTGTGTCTGTGTCTGTCTGTGTTTGTGTCTGTGTCTGTCTGTGCGTGTGTGTGTGTGTGTGTGTGTGTGTACACGTTTTTGTGACAAATGAGGACATAAATGTGTATAATGACAAAGGTATGACAGGTATTACAAGGAGAAGGTGACTTTCAGGACATTACCCCATGTCCCCACTTTTCAAAAGCTTATAAATCACACAGAATGGAGTGTATTGAAAATCTGAAATAGCAGAAAGTCTCCTGTGAGGGGTAGGTTTAGGGGTAGGGTTGGTGTAGGGCAATAGAATATACGGTCTGTACAGTATACAAACCATTACACCTATGGAGAGTCCCCACTTTTCACAAAAACAAACCTGTGTGAGTGTGTGTGTGTGTGTGTGTCTGTCTCTCTCTCTGTCTGTATCTCTCTGTCCATCTGCTTCAGCTGAAGGTGTTTTGTACTCGTCTCAGGGTGGAGTGGTCAGAGGAACGTATCTCGCTCTAGAACATATGAAGAAGGAAAATGGTGGGAATGGAGGAGTCATTATCAACGTTTCATCTATGGCAGGTTTGATACCATCTCTATTTAAAATAAACACAGATTAAACAATTACAGTTTTACAGTTTTTCTCAGCTGCTTTGGCACATTTTTCGAAACGGTCTTAACATTCTCTAAACTGTAAGTGCGGTTGTCACAACTGTTTGCTGGAACATCAGAACTCTACTAGTAACGCACCAAGAACATTTAATTTGTGCTTCAAAACCTAGTTATTTTGTCAGTGAGTTGGCCAGGGCCACCAAAATAAAAAAAAGTATTATATGCAAATTTAATTTCATGTTACATGCAAATTTAATTTTGTTATATGCAATTGTTTTCCTTCTTTTTGTTGACAGACTGCTTTCTGTACTATAGAAGAGCGTCAGTTTTGTCTGTGTATCGCACTGAGTATTTCAGATACAGATTTCAACAGAACAGTAGATAAAAATATATTGGGAAATACTGTAGTACACAAACAGAAAATGAACATTTCTATTCATACAGTACATATATTTTTGTAGAAATGTTACTTTCACCAATAAAATTCACCAATGCTTATTCGTCTTCACACACTCTATTGTCTGGCTGCTAACAGCACAACCGCAATTTCTTACATGTCTTCCTATTGCTCTTTCACTGACAGGCAAGTGTGAATTTTCACAGTTTACATGTAACACATTTCTACAGATAAAAGTACTGTACAAATATAATGTATTTTTAGAGCACTGCTGCAGCCGCTGCTGGTCACAGCTGTTTTTGTGTTTAGTGATAGCTGTTCATGAGTCCCTTGTTTGTCCTGAACAGTTAAACTGCCTGCTGTTCTTCAGAAAAACCCCCAGCTCCCACAAATTCTGTGGTTTTCCAGCATTTTTGTGTATTTGAACTCTTTCCAACAATAACTGTATGATTTTGAGATGCATCTTTTCACACCGAGGACAACTGAGGGAGTCAAACACAACTATTACAGAAGCTTCAGACGCTCGCTGATGCTCCAGAAGGAAAAACCATGCATTCAGAGCCGGGGGGGAAAACATTTTGAATTTGAAGATCAGGGTAAATTTAACTTATTTTGTCTTCTGGGAATCATGTAAGTATCTTCTGTAGCTTCTGAAGGGCAGTGCTAAATGAAAAAAATATGATATTTAGGCAAAATAAGAAAAATGTACACATCTCCATTCGGTTCAAAAGTTTTCACCCCCGGCTCTTAATGCATGGTTTCTCCTTCTGGAGCATCAGCAAGCATTTGAACCTTTTGTAATAGTTGTGTTTGAGTCCCTCAGTTGTCCTCGGTGTGAAAAGATGGATCTCAAAATCATACAGTTATTGTTGGAAAGGGTTCAAATACACAAAAATGCAAGAATCAGCGAGCATTTGAACCTTCTGTAATGTCACTTGTTGATGCGTTAAACGAAAACCGTTTCGGAAATCAGTACGAAATCCATAACTTTTTGCCAGCATGGTCTGAAGTTGATCTGAGCCAATTTTGGTGAAATGAGCCAAGGATTCAGAGGGGAAAAATAAATTTTCCTTCTAGACCTTAAGGTTCAAAAGTTATTAGCATAAACATGAGTGAAACTTTGGACAAGTGGTGGCGCTAGAGAGTTTGAGTTAGAGACACCAAATTTGCTGTGGTTAATGATGGGACTGTTCTCTATTAGTGTGCCAAATTTCATAACTTTCCAAGCATATCTATGGGCTGCCGTAAGACTCCCTTGCGGAAGAAGAAGAACGCCAATAGATACAATAGGTAAATAATAGTTTACTGACCTCAAACTTCTGAATGCTAGTGCATGTTGTTACACAAGATTTCTGTTTTGAATAAGTGCTGTTCTTTACCTTTGTAAAAGAAAG